TTGTCCTTGGAGGCAAAGAGGGGAATGTATGAGAGTATAGTTTTACCAACGCTCTTATATGGGTGTGAAGCGTGGGTGATGAATGTTGCAGCGAGGAGAAGGCTGGAGGCAGTGGAGATGTCATGTCTGAGGGCAATGTGTGGTGTGAATATAATGCAGAGAATTCGTAGTTTGGAAGTTAGGAGGAGGTGCGGGATTACCAAAACTGTTGTCCACAGGGCTGAGGAAGGGTTGTTGAGGTGGTTCGGACATGTAGAGAGAATGGAGCGAAACAGAATGACTTCAAGAGTGTATCAGTCTGTAGTGGAAGGAAGGCGGGGTAAGGGTCGGCCTAGGAAAGGTTGGAGGGAGGGGGTAAAGGAGGTTTTGTGTGCTAGGGGCTTGGACTTCCAGCAGGCATGCGTGAGCGTGTTTGATAGGAGTGAATGGAGACAAATGGTTTTTAATACTTGACGTGCTGTTGGAGTGTGAGCAAAGTAACATTCATGAAGGGATTCAGGGAAACCGGCAGGCCGGACTTGAGTCCTGGAGATGGGAAGTACAGTGCCTGCACTCTGAAGGAGGGGTGTTAATGTTGCAGTTTAAAAACTGTAGTGTAAAGCACCCTTCTGGCAAGACAGTGATGGAGTGAATGATGGTGAAAGTTTTTCTTTTTCGGGCCACCCTGCCTTGGTCGGAATCGGCCAGTGTGATAATAAAAAAAATAATGAAAATAATCATGAAAGGGTTAAAATCTCGCTATGTACTTATTTCCTCAGTAGCTGTCATTCGCTTTGTTAGATCCTGTAGCTTGTTCATAGGAGGGTTCTTTAAATGATGATTTGGTTACATTGAGCAAATAGAGTGATGCATGTATAGTGAAGTTTAATGGTGATAAGTGCTATGTAATAGAAATGGGAAAAAGCAAAATCAGACTACATTTAGAATAGTTTTTTTTTTTTTAACATGCTTCCATCCCCCACTGAGGTGGGTGATCTGACAGAAAAGAAAACTTTCACTGTCATTCATTCAGTCACTGCTTTGCCATAAGCGCTCACTCTGATATCACAGTTTAGATAACCTCTAAGCTGCAATGGATTGTGACAAAATTGTCATTAGGAAATCATATAAATGAAATTGAGAGAAATGTAAAAGTTACACTCACTATCAAATAACTTTCAAATATATGGATGGAGAGATGCTGAAAATTTTTTTACAATGTATATAAGACTTCAATTTAAATATGCAGCTGCTGAATGGTGTCCACACCAAAACAAAAAAAAAACTTTCTGAAGAAAGGCTGAAAACGCTAAAGATCCCCATGCTTGCTGATAGAAGGAAAAGAAGGTTATAAAAGAACATAAAGTAGAGAGTGATTTTTAAGTCTGGCAAAATCTTGGTGTAATGGACTAGGTCCACTGTATTGCAAGCATTACCAGACAGGTACAAATGTCCATGCAGCAAACTTAGTCCACTGCATTAATGACACTACTGGACATACCTAGAATGTACTGTGTTACAGAAAAATACAGTTAATTACAGTACCCAAAAATAAAAGTTTATAGTAGAGGACAATTTTCTTATCCTTTCTAGTGGATGGAGGAGCTGAAACTACAGTAATCCTGTTGTGTATGGTGGTTACTCAGAATATAACTTTTATTCCAAGTCAGAGGAGCTCTTGAGCTCCAAGAGTAATATTGCTGATGGTGTAGGACACAAATGTTTGAGTAGGCTCTGTCACTAGGGGTGTCACTAGTACGTTAAGAGACCATACAATAAGTGTTAGGGGCCCGAGACTGTTCAACTGCCTCCCAGCATACATAAGGGAGATTACCAACAGACCCCTGGCAGTCTTCAAGCTGGCACTGGACAAGCACCTAAAGTCGGTTCTGACCAGCCGGGCTGTGGCTCGTACGTTGGTTTGCGTGCAGCCAGCAGTAACAGCCTGGTTGATCAGGCTCTGATCCACCAGGAGGCCTGGTCACAGACCGGGCCGCGGGGGCGTTGACCCCCGGAACTCTCTCCAGGTAAACTCCAGGTCACGGAACAGATGAAACTCGCAAGAGGTTCCACTGCATTATATTATTATTATAATGGGAAAGCTCTAAACCCTTAGGATTATACAGCACCTGTGGGGGGAGGGATGGAAGGTATTCAGATTTAATTTAGGGAACTGGAGCACAGATACAATTCCCTAGATCAAGAGCCCCTCACCAGCATCAAGGAACCTCCCTTGAGGGGGAAGCTCACAGCCTGAATTTTTGCTCATATCCAGAAACAAAAAATTGACTGAGTAACTGCTCATATCCTGAAAAACTCGTATGGTGGGGCACTCGTAAGCCAAGGTTCCACTGTATATTACATGTGGGTGGGGTGGCCAGATGGGCTACCATACCTACAACACTTGACTTTCTACAAATAAATACTATTCACCTCTCACCCTACATAAAGATTATTAAGACTACAGATATTTTAAGGTAAATGATGAATGTATACTACATGCATTTTATTGCTCTAGGGCATTTTAAATGTAGTAGTACATATTTTATGTGTGGGTCGGGTGGGGTGATCTGGCTGGCTACCATGCCTACCACACCTGACTTCCTACAATAAACACTACTCACCTCTCAACCTACATTAAGACTACAAATATATTGAGGTAAGTAATGAGTGTACTGTGTGTGTATTTTACTTTTTATTGTTTTTCAATGCCTAGCTCTACTGCTAACTTAATATACAGTAGACCATCATTTAGCACGAGTTTATTTGGCAATATCTGGGTATAGCATGATTGAAGAATTACGGCACAATTTTATGTAACACATCGTAAGATGAATTTAACACGGTTCAGTTTGCGGGAAGGAAAAAAAAAAAACTTCCCTTTTCCTCAAGCGGCTGCCTAGTTGCGGATCAGCAGGGAGACCTCCCACCGTCCCCAGCCACTCCCCGACACAACCCCACCATCCCAGAATTTGTACTTTATACGTGTCCAGTCCAACTTCTCCGCTACAAGCTTGTGAATTATGTTTTGATCTTTTAATTGCTATATCTTGTATCTGCCAAGCAATCATGACACCCAGTAGGCATACCAGTGTTGCCCAATGGCAAGAAAAGGTGTAAGCATTCAAGTCTTGGAATTAACGAAGGAAACGAAGATATTAGACAAGACATAACCTTTGGCCATAATGAAGTGTTACTTTGTACACATAAAAGAGGTAAACATAAGTTTGTGTTACTGGCTGACTTACTGAATGACTGTCTGGCTGACTTACTGAATGACTGACTTACCGAGTGACTTGACTGACTTACTGAATGACTTGACTGACTTACTGAATGACTTGACTGACTTACTAAATCACTTGACTGACTTACTAAATCACTTGACTGACTTACTAAATCACTTGACTGACTTACTGAATCACTTGACTGACTTACTGAACAACTTGACTGACTTACTTAACGACTTGACTGACTTACTGAATGACTTGACTGATTACTGAACGACTTGACTGACTTACTGAATCACTTGATAGACTGAATGACAAAGTTAGACACTCCAGTACAACCATCAACTTCAGTACCATAACCTCTATCATCCACCTCAGCCCAGTAGAGCCACAGCATAACTCTCCACAATCATCCACAAACACCAGCACCCATAATTTAAGGTAAGAAATACTATTATTTGTTACATTTGTAGTCTTAAGCAGTAAAAACAACATAATACATCACTACAATGAATTACAATTACACATTCACTTTAATTTTTTTAAGATGTTGAGGCCTAATAAAAAGTTTTGTTTTTTGGGGCTCTCAGGAACGTAACCCTATTTTTCCCATAAGTTCTTCAGTTCATCTAACACGGTTTTACCTAACACGGTGTTTTCAGGAATGTAACTACCATGTTAAACAACAGTTTACTGTATGTTAAACTTATTATCTGGCATTCACATGCATTTATCTGTGGAAAAAATGGCGTTCTGCTTTCCGGCGGTAGCCTGGATCCCAACCTGACATATAAGTGGGGCCCTACTGTAATTATCTATTTGAATTTGTAGGGAAAATGGAATGCTGGGGGAGAGGAAACATGCTCCAACTCTTGGTCACACTTCCTAAGCTTTCAACTTGGTGACTGAACCTAACCTTTCTTTTTAAAACTCGTGTAGTTTGCTTCCAGTGTAAATTGCTCATTTTGTTTCACTTACCACTCTTTACTTACACTCTAAGTTAAAGAAATTCTTTCTAATATCCATATACCTCATTTGGGTGAGTAATTTGCCATCACGTCTACTTGTCCTTGCTGCACACCTGGTTAAGAGCCTATCCTCATGTACCTTGTCTTATGACTCCTTAGCATTTAGTACATATTTAGCATTTACCTCATTCTTCTTTCTAAAAGTCTTTCATCACAACTGATTTTCCCCAGCTCAGGCAAGAATGCTGATCTCATTTTCACTCTCTGGTTTCGCTAAGTGTATTACTTTGAGGTTTCCAAACTGATACTGTATACCCAATACCTATGTATGCAGTAAGGTGTGTTTTGAGCAATTCTTTGACTGGGTCCCTGAATATCACCCCCCTATGTTTACAAGTTACTGATGTTAGTCTGTTTAAATGTGCCTTAGAAGACAATTATAGTTTGATTAACTGACTCTCATTGAACTCTACTCACTACGAACCACTTAACTGTCAGTACGAATATGTAAAATTCTTAAATGAAAACTTGAATGGTACCAAATGCTGTCAAATACTCAAACACTGGCACAACAGCGAATGATGGTGAATTTGTAAATGCAGGAAATGGTTAAGGTTGAAAAAAATAATGAAGTACTAACAAAATCATATCCCTTTCCAATCTACACATGTCCAACAGCTGGGAGGGCCTTATAAACTCTAGTTAATTTTAAATTACTTTTACAAATTAAGTCAGCTTTTAATTTTCTCAATGACTCAGGTGTACAATGTAGCCTAAAGCCTTTTTATAAGGACATTTACTGAACCTCATATATCATGATACTTACTGAGCTAATAGGCACAGGTTTTGCCAAGAACATTGTATCTTGATCGGTAATAGGTAAAAAGCCAGGTATGTTCCGAGCAAATTCCTCATACACAGCCATTTGAGGTTGAGTGACACCACCCACTTTTAAACGTATTGGCTCAGGCATACGTTCAGCTTGATATGTTAATACCATTGGATCACAGTAACGTCGTCCATCTGTTCGGGCAACCTTCCGAGCTTCATATTCCTATAAATAGTAAAAATATTATATTGGTTATGTGGATACAGTAAGAAATTATTAAAATTAGTCCACGTAATTCTGCATACAGTACCTATTATTTGAAATCACCATCAGTACTGAAGTGCTGCCAAGATAGACCAGTACAATACTTTACTTGATATACCCAACTGTAACTTGGACTCCTGGGGCACTTATAAGTTAACTTAAAAGTGCCCTGGGACACTTATTATATTTACTTAATAATAAATATATGTTTTTAACACAGTGGCTGTCTCCCACCGAGGTAGGGTGACCCCAAAAAAGAAACACTTTCACCATCCTTCTCATTATCACCCTTCCAGAGGTGTGCGATATGACCCCTCAATAAACCACCCCAAACGAAAAATTTTTTACCTGCAAAAACTCCAACAGTCACAAAGTCCCAAAAAAAGTTTTTTGCCTCCATTACCTATCTAACACACAACCCCCAACCCTGCGGATGCCCAATCCCCTTGCACCAAAAACTTTATTTTCCCCCCTCCCTCCTTCCTTTCCTGGGAGACTCTCCCCCACCCTTTCCCTCTACTAAGATATATACACTTCCAAGTCATCCTATTTTGTCCACTTTCTCTAAATGAAAAAACCCACCTCAAAAACCCCTCTCACCCTCGGGATAATACTTTTAGTAATCTCACCCGGAAAATACTTTTATAACCCTCCCCCCCTCCTAATCTTCAAACGTGAATTCTCTGCAAATATTTACATAAACGGCCCCCAAACAAGATATCTCCAGCAAGCCATTCATTAAAATCTACTTATTACCTTGATTTAATAAAACCACCAAACGGGATGGATGCTCAAGACCTAGCACCCTAAACCCTTTCCCACAAGTATTTCTGGGTGACCCCTACTCATCCTTCTTCCAACCGCTGTCATCTACCCCATTCTTCTCTTTAAAATTTTCCAAACCACCTAAACAACCCTTCTCAGCCCTTGATGACCACAGACTATTTTCTAATATCCATTTTCTAAATTTCAGCATAAAATTCACCCCACACACTGTTTTGGTATACAACTACTGACTTAGCCTGTTACTCCAAAAAAGTTCCAACCCTTTATCTCCCCCCAAAAAATAAACTTCTAAATCAACTTGCTTCTTCCCCGACAGCCCAACACCACCTTCCTCCCCCCCCCCCCCCCCCCCCATCTATTTTGTGGTTCCCCTTGTCTTTCAGAGAACCCTCTCTTTACATGTGCTACCCAAATTTTCTAAAAAAAAAATCCACTAACTTCCCACCCTCTCTCCTTCCCAAACTGATTTATATCCCCAAACCTTCTTGCAAAAAAATTTATGTTTCTCTTATTTCTTTAAATTTATTTCCATTCCCTAGTAATTCCTCCTGCCAACTTTTTCAACTTTTTTTGATTTTCCCCCAAAAAAATGTCATTGGCAAAAAAAAAACCGTGACAATTCCCTTTTGTAAGTTCTTTTTTTTTTAACACATTTGGCCCTTTTCCCCCCAAGGGGAGTGACTGAAAAAGAAACTCTCTCTCTTCACTCCATCACTTTTGCCAGAGGGTGCCTACACTACATTAAAAAAAAGCAAAAATACAACACCCCTCCTTCAGATTGCAGGGGCCGTATTCCCCCCTCCAGGATCAAGTCCCAATTTAAACCCTTTCCCCAAATCCCCCCAAAATGTTACTTTGCTGAAACCCAACAACACATCAAGTGGTTAGGCTTCTTTTTGATTATAATAATAATAATAATCATTGCTTAGTTAATCTTAAGTTAATTTTAAGCCAGCCCGTAATGCTATGCATAGTATAAGTGGCTTTGGCATACTGCTCTTATCTGTATTTTTTTTGTACCTCTGTATGTGTGCACAAATTGGAAATAAATAAATAAATAAATAAATAAAAAACCATTCGTCTCCACTCACTCCTATCTAACACACTTGCACGTGGTTGCTGGAAATCCAAGCCCCTTGCACACAAAACATCCTTTACATCCTCTCCCCAACCTTTCCTCCATACTCCCTCCCTCAAATCTGATACCCAATCTTTCATTACCTAAATTTTCTGTAATCCTCATCACCTTGCTCTTTCCTACATTTACTTTTAATTTCCTTCTTTTATGTACTCTTTGAAACTTGTTCGCCAACCTCTGCAACTTCTCTTCAGAATCTCCCAAAAGCATATCATCAGCAAACAGCAACTGTGATAACTCCCACTTTGTGTTAGATTCTTTATCTCTTGCCAACCCTCGAACATTCACTTCTCTTACACCCCACCTATAAATATACTGAACGACCATGGTGACATCACGCATCACTGTCTAAGGCCTACTTTTACTGGGACAAGACCTCCCTCTCTCCTACATACTCTAACCTGAGCCTCACTATATTTGTATAAGCTCTTTAGTGCTCTCAGTAACCTACCACCTATTCCATGCATTTGCAACATTGCTCCCCTATCCACCCTATCACATGCATTTTTCAAATCCATAAATGCAACAAAATCTCTTTACCCATATCTAAATACTATTCACCCATGTTCTTCACTGCAAACACTTGGGCTACACCCCCTACGTATCCTAAAGCCTCCTTGTTCATCTGCAATCATGCCCAATATCTCATTCTTTTAATTCTTTCAACAATAACTCTACCATACAGTTTACCAGGCATACTCAACAGGCTCATTCCCTTATAATTTTTACACTCTTTTGTCCCCTTTGCCTTTGTACAAAGGAAATATACATGCTCTCTGCCAATCCCTAGCTACCTTCCTCCTCTTCCATTTTTTTTTTTTTAATAAGTTGGCCACCTCCCACCGAGGCAGGGTGACCCAAAAAGGAAGAAACTCCCCAAAAAGAAAATACTTTCATTATCATTCAACACTTATACCTCACTCATACATAATCACTGTTTTTGCAGAGGTGCCCAGAACACTATAGTTTAGAAGCATATACATATAACACAGCATATCCCTCCAAACTGCCAATATCCCAAAACCCCTCCTTTAAAGTAGCAGGCATTGTACTTTCCGTTTCCAGTACTCAAGTCTGGCTATACAAAAATAACTGGATTCCATGAATCCCTTCACTAAATATTACCCTGCTCACACTCCAACAGCTCGTCAGGTCCCAAATACCATTCGTCTCCATTCACTCCCATCTAACATGCTCACGCATGCTTGCTGGAAGTCCAAGCCCTTCGCCCACAAAACCTCCTTTACCCCCTCTGTCCAACCTTTTCGAGGACGACCCCTACCCCGCCTTCCTTCCCCTACAGATTTATACACTCTCCATGTCATTCTACTTTGATCCATTCTCTCTAAATGGCAAAACCACCTCAACAACCCCTCTTCAGCCCTCTGACTAATACTTTTATTAACTCCACACCTTCTCCTAATTTCCACACTATGAATTCTCTGCATAATATTTACACCACACACTGCCCTTAGACAGGACGACATCACCACCTCCAACGGCCTCCTTGCTGCAGCATTTACAACCCAAGCTTCACACCCATATAAGAGTGTTGGTACCACAATACTTTCATACATTCCCTTCTCTGCCTCCATACATAATGTTTTTTTGTCTCCACATATACCTCAATGCACCACTCACCTTTTTTCCTTCATCAATTTTATGGTTAACCTCATCCTTCATAAATCCATCTGCTGACATGTCAACTCCCAAATATCTGAAAACATTCAATTCTTCCAAATTCCTCCTCTCCAATTTGATATCTAATTTTTCTTTATCTAAATCATTTGATACCCTCATCACCTTACTCTTTTCTATGTTCACCTTCAACTTTTCACCTTTACACACTCTCCCAAGCTCATCCACTAACCTTTGCAACTTTTCTTTAAGAATCTCCCATAAGCACAGTATCATCAGCAAAAAGTAACTGTGTCAATTCCCATTTTGTATTTGATTCCCTATAATTTAATCACATGCCTCTCCCAAACACCCTAGCATTTACTTCTTTTACAACCCCATCTATAAATATATTAAACAACCATGGTGACATTACACATCACTGTCTAAGACCTACTTTTACCGGGAAGTAGTCTCCCTCTCTTCTACACACCCTAACCTGAGCCTCACTACCCTCATAAAAACTCTTTACAGCATTTAGTAACTTACTCCCTATTCCATATACTTGCAACATCTGCCACATTGCACCCCTATCCACTATCATATACCTTTTCTAAATTCATAAATGCAATGAAAACTTCCTTACCTTTATCTAAATACTGTTCACATATATGCTTCAATGTAAACACTTGATCTACACATCCCCTACATACTCTAAAACCTCCTTGCTCATCCACAGTCCTACATTCTGTCTTACCTCTAATTCTTTCAATAATAACCCTACCGTACACTTTTCCTGGTATACTCAGTAAACTAATTCCTCTATAATTTTTACAATCTCTTTTGTCCCCCTTATTTTTATTATTTTTCTATTATCACACTGGCCGATTCCCACCAAGGCAGGGTGGCCCGAAAAAGAAAAACTTTCACCATCATTCACTCCATCACTGTCTTGCCAGAAGGGTGCTTTACACTACAGTTTTTAAACTGCAACATTAACACCCCTCCTTCAGAGTGCAGGCACTGTACTTCCCATCTCCAGGACTCAAGTCCGGCCTGCCGGTTTCCCTGAATCCCTTCATAAATGTTACTTTGCTCACACTCCAACAGCACATCAAGTATTAAAAACCATTTGTCTCCATTCACTCCTATCAAAAACACTCACGCATGCCTGCTGGAAGTCCAAGCCCCCTCGCACACAAAACCTCCTTTACCCCCTCCCTCCAACCTTTCCTAGGCCGACCCCTACCCCGCCTTCCTTCCACTACAGACTGATACACTCTTGAAGTCATTCTGTTTCGCTCCATTCTCTCTACATGTCCGAACCACCTCAACAACCCTTCCTCAGCCCTCTGGACAACAGTTTTGGTAATCCCGCACCTCCTCCTAACTTCCAAACTACGAATTCTCTGCATTATAT